CAGAGTTTCAGACCCAAACCCCTATTTATAACCTTAGAGAAGTCATTTTTCAGCACCCTAGTCTCTGGAAACTACTCTCCATAGTGCCCAGGTGAGGACTGGTGCTTAACTATGGCTGAAGCTACACTGCCATATATTTTAGCATGGGAATTGCATTAGTCTTGTGCATCCACACAATGCACACAGACTAATGCAATTGAACCCAGGGTAAGCCGTGTAGTGCGGCTTGACCTCAGACTAAAAAAACACTGGGAAAGGTCTGATTCCTGCAGTGTTGATATAGTGAGAAATGCCATCCAAGATCCTAATTCAGGATCCAGGATCATGTCTCCACAGCAATTTTCTCCCCCAGGCTCAGGCAACCAAGGATGCTGGGATGACAGTCCGTTCCTTCCCCCTCCCCAAAACACAACAAGAAATCCCCACTTACTGGCGCTGCCTGCTCTTTACTTCCTAGTTTTTTGTCATTCAGGGTGCGAAGCAGCCTTGAAGTAGCTAAAGTCCTCTGAACAAATTTATCTAAGAGAAGTCTATGCTAGGATCATTATAAGGTAGAATCAACTTGAAGGCACATAACAACTATTATAATGTACAGTGAGCCTCTTTCAATGCGTTGAAGGAGTTAGATCTTTTGAAATGGCCTTATTTATGGTGACCTATTAAACAAAGTAACATTTAGCCAAGATTTAATCTCTGAAATTGCTAATCTGTATACAGGTCTTAAAAAATGGATTTAGCACTGTCAAATTTAGGAACTGATGTCTGTTATCCCTTCATTATTTGCAATCGTTATAGAACCACTAGACAGACTAATCAGTAATAACAAAATCATAAGTGGTCCTAAATTTAATAACAAAAATAAATCAAATTAAATGTTATTTGACCTTTGCAGATAATGTGTTTTAAACTTTGTTAATTTGGAGGTCAGTATACCTGAATTTTAAAAATCTATGCAGATTTGAAATTACAATGAGTAATAAAATGTTCTTTTCTCAATACTTCTTTAGAGATGCTAAAATAATGGCAGTAATCCTCACAGCTTTTTGAGTTCTAACTATCTAGGGACTATACTCATGAAGAATCTTAAGAAGCTAATACCTCGGAATTACAATCCAATCATGAAGTGGATCAAAGAGAGGCTAAAACTTGATCTTCACTCAAACTATTCCTTTTGGGAGAATTGCATTAATAAAAAAAGTTTATACTAACAAAGCTACTCTTTCTATTTCAGTTCATCCTATTGCATTTATAACCTAAGACAGGCTTGTCAAAAAGTAAAAAGCAAACTATGGTATATGTTCAGGGAAAACTTCACAAAAACATGGTCTTGTCTAGTGAAAGATTATACTACAGTCTAAGCCAATTAACTCATTGCATCAGTAATAATATTACAAACCAGTGAGTCAACATGAAAAAGTTCTTGAAATAATTGTTAACCCCTTTGATTTGTCCAATCCCCCTCAAAAATGTGGTCATTTGTCATAGACTGTAGATTTTTTTGCACAAGATAAAATAAGACAATACAATAATTTATCTTCAAACAATGTATTAAGAATTAAAAAATTGTAGTGCATTGATATTAAGAGGACAATTTGAAGCAAACTTCTAGCTTTGACTGAATTGTTATTGGATTGGCTCTCATCACTTGTGAAAAAGGTGAGACAAATCTTGAGAACCTTCACCCCTTTTGAGTCTGTGTTCATTGACCCCTCTTTTCAATTTGAAGTTCAAGTAGCATGGCTATACATGTGATTTATAAAAGGTGAAGAAAAACCAGTGTTGAATAAAGCTGAAGAATTGACATTTAAAGCTTGATTGTCAGTGGGGAAAATAGCAAAAGATAACTTTGTGAAATTATAAAATCTATTTATATCTTGCTCTTTAGGCTTAACATTATCTCAAGGTTCTTCATTAACTCAAAAGATACGTAGGTACAATAATGACTTTTTATTATTTTATTTCATTTTAAAAGGTTATATATTTGTTTTGTGAAAAGCACACTGAAAATTAGTTTTGGTGCTAGAATGATGGAAGAGGTTCATATGTGGGTGGAGATTTTGGTTATCTTCCCTCCACTCTAAGTTTTCTCAAAGCAAAGAGAAGACATAATAATGGACCAGGCTGTGGCACAGCTAGTTAGTAGCCATCTCCATTAAATCACGACTGACCGAGAGGTCATGAGTTCGAAACCAGCTTGGGTTGGAGTAAGCCCCCGACCATTAATAGTCTAGCTTGCTAACCTATGCAGTCCGAAAGACAGTTGCATCTGTCAAGTAGGAAATTTAGTTACCGCTTTATGTGGGGAGGCTAATTTAACTAATTTATGATGGCATAAAACCTTTTTAGCAGCGTGCAGAAGAATGAGGAAGTAGTCCATCAAAGGACTCGGTGTCACATGTGAACATTGAATCAGCTGTTCCCCCTGTGGCCGGAATCGAGCCAGAATCGAGCATACCCTCATGAAGCTGGAAAGCTAGATGTTAAATGCCTCTGTGTCTGTCTATATATGTTATATGTTTAAATGGCATTGAATGTTTGTAATGTATTTATTTATTTACAGTATTTATATTCTACCCTTCTCATAAATAATAAATCAAGGTATCATGTTCACATCTAGTTGACAGATCAGCCATCCTATCTTGAATAGGCATTTGGGATGCTGTGCATTTTTGTTTTTATATGGGGTTGAGTGCCCTAAAATTAAAATTTGGGGCAGAATTATCACCGAAATGCAATACGTCCCTTCTCAGACATTTTTGTTTGGTGGTTGCTTATTGCTCCTTTACAGTTAAAAAATGCTGTATTTAGAGTTATATCTTTAGAGTTATAAAAAAAACCGTAGCTCTTATGATTTACTCAGTGTCGTTGGTTGTGGCACATTTTATGATTGATAAAAGTTGGGAAACCCTGGATGGATTTATTGTAACAATTTGAATCATTTGGATATTGTATGTTGAATTAATGGAAAAAATGTACACACTAAAGTTAAGCCTTGAAAGATTTAGAACCAGAAGATTATTTTATTTTAAGTGGGTTCTCATGACTCAAATCCAGGTCTTCGGAAAACACAAATATATGATTAATTTTCTAGAGTGTTTTGAAAGTCATTGTATATTATGATGATATGATATTATGATATCATGAGTTTTAAAAAATGCATTTTAAAGGAAAAAGAAGAAAAGGAGATCAAGAAGGAAACAAACATGGGTGGGTGTATATATTTATATAGGCAGTCACGTTTCCAAAAATGTACTTTCTTGAAGTATTACTTCACCAGTGTGTATGTGAAATAGACTATTTCTTTTTTTTAAAGGCATGATGGTTTCTAATACATCTGAAACATCAGTGTTTGCACACTATCAGTTTATCCTTTGTAGTTGAAATGGATTTTACTATCTCAATCTACCGACTGAAAAGTGTTTCTGACTAATAAAGGCTATTTGAATATTTGTAATAGATTGTATATAAGATGCTATATTTATTGCCTTGTAATTTGTTTAGGCTAGAGAACTTTAAAGAGAAAATGTCTCCAATATTTTGTCTTCAACACCAGCCATGAAACCATTTGCAAGTGAATAAGTTCCATTGAATTAACCAGAATATATATGTGAATAGACAAGCACAGGATTGGGATGTTAATGCTACTTATTATCCTCTAGCCATAACCAGTGTTCTAAATTAGAATTAGATTTTTCTTCTTCTTAACTTGTGAGGGAGCAAACCATTTCCACTATGTTAAAGTGATATGTTTCCGTTAAAATTCAAAATCTTTTATATGCAATTTATGAAAGGAAACATTAGAGTTCTTTTCCCCACTTTCTTTTCAAGGGGATAATGTTTTTTCGAAAGCTCTAATTTATTTTCCACAATGTTTAGAAAATTAATCGATAGTAGCAATTATAAAAGTTAAAAATAATACTTTTACTTACTACCAACTAGTGACGTTTCATGTTCTAGCAACACTGATAAATTATATTAATTTGCTTTTGCTGAACCAAACAACAGCAAGTAATTTATCCGGCAAAGAAAATGAAACACTGCATCATCACACATTTTTCAAGATTAAAGAATCAATCAAAATTGGAGAAACAAGTGGACTTCAAGTGTATAATTCTGAGCACTTAACAACTAAATAGTTCTGCCCTGTAGGAAGATTAATATGTGTTTATTACAAAACATATGCGCGACCAAGCAAAACAGGAATTACAATCTGTCAAAAACCTTAATAGATGAAATAGCTACCCTAAATATCACGTAGGCAGAAAATAAACATAATTTGGTTTTATTTAGCTTGAATTTAAAATTGTTTTATTTCCTGCTAAAAACTACTCTTAGAACTTAGTTATAGTATAGATAGTATAGTTTATAAATCCAGTATTCTTGATAAATAACATATCTGAATGAAAGAACAGCAGAATAGAAGAGAGCAGAACAATACAATGATAGATGTTTTCATTAAAATTAGATATTTACATCTATTTTATGATGTTTATAAAAACATAAATAAATATTTAGATAAATTTTGATCTTTGTGTTCTACCAAGATCGTACATCCTAAATGGATTTGACTTTAATGTCTCATGCTAGAAGGAACTCATGAAGGTTCACTTGTTTATGCTATTAAGTCCACAATGGAGATAGAATGTGGAAGGCTCTGTTCCTCCATCTATGCTCAGACCCCCTAAATAAATCTCATTATCATGGTTTAATAATGATAAATGTTCTTACTATCTATATTTTTCCTTCCCCATAACAGGAGGATTGGCTTCCTAACAATGATAACTCATTTGTGCTTGTGATTCAATATATATGTATGATTCCTGTATTCCAAACAGGTACAGAAACTGCTCCAGCCCTGAACCCACACAAAGCTTTGTGTTATTTTGAAGGAGAGGGGTCTCTTTCTGGGAAATGCCTTTCTGTGTGTTTGGTCTGTGTAACTCTACTAGACAATTGTCTTCAATCGTCATACACGTTCATATCATTTTTTCATCATACAGGTAATTTCACAGCTTCGGATATTAAGCAGGTCTGTAACAGCTGGCTGCAAATTTGACAGAGAAATCTGGTCCAATGAACTTTCTCCAGTTCTCAATTTATGGAAGAAGCTTAATCAGGTAAGACAATCAATAAGAAGAGGAATGATGACATAAGGAAGGCCATATACTGCAAACTTTTATTTATAAAAATATTTTTATATCTTGAACCATTGACAAATAATGACTTGAGCTTTTTTTGCAGCAATAATAATATAAAATTGTTTAATTTGTTTAATTAAACAATTTGTTAAATTAATATTCGGGATACCTACTTTCATCTGTCAATCCATTGAAGTTACAGGCGTTTCCTGCCCTTTTGGGTCAACGGCCAGACTTACAAGTTCAATGACCTTCCTTTCGGTCTCGTTACCGCACCAAGGACTTTTACAAATGCATGTCGGTGGTCACGGCTGAAAAGAAGCAGGGGAGCTGAGGGATGATTTATTGTTGCCACCAATTTGAAAGGAACCAATATTCAGTAGATTTTACCCCAGTTCCCAATTTTAAAAAGACTTAGCCGATTTGCAATGGAGGTTGCCGATTAGGAACCAAATTTACCATCAAGTTGGAAGGGAGGCTGTTCAATTGCACCTCCTCCTTTATTAAGAAAGTAATAACTTAGTAGTAATACACTGTATATACTGTAGCGTGACTGGAAAGAAGAATGTAGATTTATTTAGTTACTTTTCCCTGCGTTTCTGCCACCACGTGAGGTAAGTTGTAATATTGTGAGAAATGGCACTTTGTACCCAGAATAGACGAAGCTGAGGCAATCTTCAAATAAAAGTTAACAATTTTATTAAGTACACAGCATGTGGTTGCAAGACGTAACTTTTCCTTGTTGCACTTGGAATAATACTTGTAACTTTAACAGTTCATTCTTTCAAGTAACACAGTATCTTTCTGACGTAGAGCACTTGTTTCAGACAAAGTTTCCATACAGGGATGTTTCCCTTAGTTGATCCTCCCTAGATCAAATACTAAGTAAACTATTCTTTAGCCTCTCCTTAGACTAAAAGAATACCAGCTCTGTTTCACCATTTGGCTGCACTAGCCTGAGAAACTTCCAATAGCCAAACCCAGCTTTTCAAAGCCTCAAAGTTTTTCTTCACAAGTCACTCCGCCACCTTTCCTTCTCTCCCAACTCCTATGTCCTCACTCCTCTGAACCTAACTCCTGACTGCTCACTCCTCTAAACCTAAACCCTAACTGATTTTTAACTGTCGTTTTTTTCAAACTCTCCCCTCTAAGCTCCTCCCACTTCCCTCTCTCCTGCATCGGTCTCCATGGCAACGCACATGGAGGACTCCTCTGACTTAGGCCGCTCCAGCATTACTGCAGCCAATCTAAACACAAATACAGTTAAAATCATACAATTTATAATCAACTCCTGTGCAACGGCCTACTTCCGGAAGCAAAAGATCCGGGTGTTTCCATACCTGGATGACTGATTACTGGCATCAAAGTCTCCCACCGTCCTGAGGTCGCAAATACGGACAACGCTGGTCCTCCTCGGCAGTCTCGGCCTTCAGCTAAAGGTTGAGAAGTCTTACTTGACCTCAACAACCACCATAAAGTTCATCGGCGCCCTATATGGGGAAAGAAAGTTAGAAGTCAGAAAATTCCTCTTTTGGCCTGATCAATCTGCTTGAGAAGATAAATGTTGGTGATATTTTGATTACAAAAAAGGGAAATAAGTTTTGAGCTCATCAGCTTTGCCTGAAAGGTGACCATTCTTGTCATTGTATCTGAAGCCCCCAATGTATAGTTGACCTGATCCATAAAGAGCCTTCTGTTAGAAGTTCAGTAATTTAATTAGTATTATTGGAGCACTTCATGGTGATAGATAACACTATGTAACAAAATTTGAAAAAAAATCAGTTCCTGGTTTGAAAGAATTGTTTCCTGTTTAATTATGCAGTGTGTACATTGAAAGTAGTTTTTATACTCCACAAATTTTGTTTTTGCGACTGCTACAAACTATTTTGTATTGGTTGAGATATTCATTAAAAAAAAATGTGCTGCAGGATGTCCCACAAAAACAAAGTTTCTGCAGTTTAATAACTTTTTTCCATGTTTTTATGATAGAAACAATTAGGAATGACATTTATAACCCAGAAAGAAACATTGTGTTACATAGTATAATGGTGCTACATTGTTTCAAAAAAGTGTGCTAGATACAGGATAGGACTAGAAACCTTTTAGCTACCTATCTCTGTCCCAAGCTATAAGCAAAGAACTTCTATGAAAATGTACATAAATAAATACATACTCACAAGTGCCCAAAGTTGTTGGACAAATATGGTCATCTTGAGTTATAAGCCTCTAACTCCTAATGTAACTTGCAGATAGTTAAAGACTCGTTATAAAGTGATTTGCCCTGCCTTTGAAATACAGTTCATTAACAGGATATACAAAAAACTAAATGTGAATGTATGGCAGCATTTGGCTGTGACAGGACACTTCCTATTTATCCATATCAGTTTTTAGCACTAGAAGTAAGATTGTGCTAATTGAACTGATCTGCTTTTTACCTTCACCATTATTTCCTTTGATTAATTTTTATATTATCTAAATGAATTCATTATGAAACTTGGAGCCATCACACAATACATTTTTCTACTTGTACATGTAACTAAGATTGGCATGGCTTAGTGCTAAAGAACATAACAGTCCAAATTTAGGATGAATTCAGGCTGAAGGTAGGATGATTTGCAAACGACAACATAAATTCTGACAGTTTTCTTATTTACTCTTTCTCTTTTGACAATGCTCCCTCTCAGGAGAGTGATAAATGTGGGTCATGAAAAGCCACCTAAATCAGTTGCTGCAGTCAGGCCATTTTATGAAACAATTTTTGGTTGAAAAATGACAGATGGGGAAACTGTTGTCATTTGCTGCAACTGACAGTAAATGTGGTAATTTTGTTCTGCTTATTGAATTAAAATTCTAAACAAGCCATTCACATGGCTTAAGCTTATAAAATTCAATTTAATACACTCATATGCATATAGCCCAAATTAGACCACTGTGAAATGATTTGACATGCCCATTTGTCATTTTGTTTCCTTAAAATAAGAAATATAAAATAGTTCTACAAATTAAATCACTTTAATTAAATCCAAACACAAAATAAAATATGTATAATCACTTTCTAGTTAAAATCAGAGCTTGTTCTTACATAAGTAATACCTGCCTTCCTCTTAGAATTTAAATGATATAGCATGATTTAGCTTTTTTATTCAATATTGAGTGTAAATTACTTGGAAACCTCACTTAAACATGAGAAAGACAATAACAAATCATGTAATAATCTGCTGGAAACACATTTGTGCCTTACAAACAGGTTTCAATCAGTTGAACATGCATACTAAAGTAGCATTTAGGAAGGTAGGAGTTAGAAGATAAACATGGAGTAACTAGCATTCAGCTGCCCTCTCCTATTTTTCCTAAAATTAAGCCCATAGAACTTCCATAACCAGAGAGATGGAGTTTTGTGGTGTGAATGGTTGTTTATTCTGGACCTTTACTAATTCTCATGTTCTTTTTTCTGTGTGAAAATGCTTGTATTCTGAGTTTTATGCCAATATAAGAAGCAAAAGGCTCAGTGTGGATCAGTATCATATCTGTACAAAAACATATACTGAGAAGTAGAAACTGTTCAAAATACTTCAAATTTTAAAGTAGAAGGAGCCAGAGCTTCTTTTAGGTTCTCCTGGGATGGCCTTTCACCAGTCTACTCAGAGAAGGGGGGATGATTCCCTTTGTGATAAGAGCGAAGTACAGTACTCGTATTGACACGGATAAGTTGACCCAGGTTTTTGAGGGTTGATTTTTTAAACTAAAATTTCTAGACTTATACATAAATATATAAAGTATGCTCAGAATGCTCAATAACATTATGAGATTACATTTTTGTTCTCCTTAAGCTGTTTTCTGGTGTGGATCTTTATGCAAATAGCTGTGTCTTCCTTCCTAACATCTGCAATGCTTTCACTGCAGTTATGCAGCTGACATCAAACCTGGGAAACAATCTTTTTCAGCTGAAGCCATACTATGAATGTTCCTAAAACTGTATCCCAGTAATTCTGGCATTAGCTTGTAGTTCTGCGATGTTTCTAAGAAAACATGCTTGGTTGTAAATATGCCATCTTCTATTAGTAGAGTAAGCAAATAACTTGAGTTTTATTCTCTTTAGAATTCCAACCTAATTCATCAGAAAGTGTCTCCTCCTTCTGAGCGCCAAGGGTCTCCAATCCTTTCATTCATTATTCTGGAACAGTTCAACGCAATTCGCTTAGTTCAGAGCATTCATCAGTCTCTAGCGGCTCTTAGTAAAGTCATCAGAGGAACCTCACTACTGAGTTCAGAAGTACAAAAACTAGCAAGTGCCTTATTAAACCAGAAGGTAAGCATTTTAAAACATTCTTAGCATACATAATGATTCTTTATCCACTAATAGGACAGTCTTGAACCAAAGCCCACTAATTTGGGAAAGTGCACTCTTTTATTCTTCAATTGATTTTTCTTTTGATTTAAGCAGATTTAAATCTAACCAGTAAATTATTAATAACCACACTCCCCCTGCCCCGTTTTCAGCTTTGATTTATATGACCACCCATCGACAGTTGTTCTCTAGGGACTTTCAGAGCAGCAAGTCAAAGAAATATCATATTAATAATACATGTTACAATAATCGAAAGTGCAAACAGTAATAGTAAAACATAAAACGCTGTATATACGGTAATTTTTATTTTGAGCAGTCTGATAGATTTAAAATAGTGAAACAATGAGAGTAAAATATTAATTCAAAGTACAGGTATTACCTCAGTTGACAAAGTAGATATATACTTGGGCATAACTTCTTTAACATACTCTTTAAATCAAGCTTCTTTAACATAAGACTTAAATCAATGAAAAGTTTTATAAGAACCACCACTCTTCTAAATGTTCTCCCTGCAACAGCAAGAATATCCATGTGGGCAGCAAAATCAGGCAATTCCAACTGTATGCCCCCCTATGAGGGTCTTTCTCCAGGAGCAGAACAAAAGACAACCTGGCAAAATGGCACTGTCTAGAAGAACAAACAACTCAGCAACTGTATGCTTGTCCACATTGCCTGCTTCATGCACAGAGGAAGAACTGTTTAAAGCTGCAGACAATACAGTCGCTGTTGCCCGTTTTTGGTCTAAAATTATTTAGCTGCTTATGCTACCTTTATTTTATCAGTTTTATACTTATTTATTTATGCAATGGTTTTGACACGAAATAAAAAAATAAATAAACATAAGCTTTGGTACCATGGAAATAACATGGAAAGAGTAGGGATATATTTCCAAACCACAAAAAAAATTCAGTATGTTTCAGCAAACTTTTTCTCCCAAACTAATGATTCATACATGTGAAATGAAGCAACCAGCTCAAGCAGCCATTACATAAACACGTAAAAATATTTTTAGCCTTGAGTGATCTTTTTTTTCCTTTCACTAGCCTCCACTTTTCTTAATAGTTCTACTGTGATAATCAAACTCACACATCTATGTTCTTTTTCAACATTGGCTTCTCCTTTTGCATTGCATGTATCCATTTTTGAATTTAGCTGCTATTTACATTGCCTAGTGGAGGCAGGCACAAACAGCTACAGTAGAATTGGCTAAAGTAGAATCCTACTTTTCCCCACCTTTAAGCTTTATTGCATTGTTTGCTGTAGATATGCTGTTATAACCTAACACTGAAAATGTTTCTCCAGTCCTTCTTCACTATGCTCCCGGTGCTGATACTGCTGAAAACCTTACAACTAAATGTTAGCTGAAAAAGAGGGAATCTGAGCAAGCATAAATAGATTGTTTAAAAATAACTTCTTTGTCAGAGGTTTCATTAACTGGGGAGTTGTTGTGTGATTTCAGGACATAGCCTTAAACAAAAAAACCCTGGCATTTTTCTTGAAGAAAGTCAGAAGAAAAGTGCACTGAATGGACTGGATGCATTTGGTGACCATTAATCAGTTTTGCTGGTTCAAACAATAGATAAATTCATCCACCACTGAATGCTTTGAAATTTTAGGCAGGAACCCTTTGAAATGGGAATTTCCCTGGACTCTGAAATAGTGTAAGCATGCAATACAGCTTTAAACATAATACATATTAGGATAACCATTTTAAAAGAGAGGAGGGATAGACTGATGGATAGACATAAGTTAGTATTAATTAGGTTGAGAGTTGCATGTTGTGATAATATGCTTTTAGTAGTGGCTAAGTGTAAAGCTAATATTTTTCCCCTCCACACAGTGCCCATTAACGTGGCAGAGCAAATGGGAAGGCCCAGAGGATCCTTTACAATATCTCAGAGCTGTTGTAGCAAGAGCACATGCTATTCAGGTACTATTTAATATTTCACTAAGTTTCAGTATTTTAATAACCTAAAGCAAAGTTCACAAGTTTTCTGTTTATTTTTCATTTTCATATCCCATCTTCTCTTGAAAGAAATTTACAAGTCAGCTGCTCATATAAGTGTACTATTAGGCCTATATGGTAATGAAGGTTGACACATCTGGTAGGAACCAGAGAAATCTCTTTGGACACATTGTACTAGTCATGCTGAGGGAATGCTTTCTTGTTTGATGGGCCAAGAAACCAAGCAAATAAGCTAAATGGTATACCCACATTTATACAAAATATTCAGTACACTGATAACACAGGATGTGTTACTTGGTAGTTTGTGAATTCTAAATTTTAATATTTCTCTTGTTAATTTATTGAACTCCCCGAGTCCCTTTGGGGAGATAAATAAAGTTATTATTATTATTAGTGAAGTAGGTATAGTGTTTTTTTGTGCACCCATGCCATAGGGCAATGTAGCTTCAAACCAGTCTAGCTTGTTCATGGCAATATAACATTTTCCTTTCCACAGAGAAAGCTGGTTTGTCTGGAACACTCTTCCTTGTATACAGTTTCTTCTAATATCTGTTTCTGGTGGTTGATTTAAATTGAAACAGTCAATAACGTTTTAAGTTGTATTTAGACGGAACGCATATACTGGAAACACTGGTGCAGTTTGGTAAATAAATATGTTTTAAATATATATATAAAGTTAAATATATAAAGAAGAGGGGATATAAATTTTTAAGAGAAAGAAAGAGAAATATGTGGTCTGTGAACATGGGCTAGGTATTTACATTAAAATAAGCTGGCAGTGAAACTAGGGAAGATGTTGAAAAGTAATTTCTCAATCCTGCTAAGTTTACTCTTACTCTTTTTCAAAAGCAGAAGAAAGCTTGTGTACAAACTATACCTTCTTACTACCAAATGTACTGACAGTGTCTTTCCAAACCAATACAAAAATCCATTCAGAGTATATCCATGACAAATATTGTAATCCAAAGGTTATTGTTGCCACCTCTAAATTCATTCTCTTAATATGCTCCCTACAATTGTCTGTGGATGATGCATAATGTATTAGAAAGTTCTATAATAAAGAGTGTTTTAATTTCATTCTTCCATATAAAATGGCTTTACCCTTGGGAACACACAATGAGATGAGGAATGCAGTAGCAAATTAACATTTCAACCTGTCATATTGCTGAGGATTATTAGATACATTAGGCCACTCCACAGGCATGAAACTTTATTAAATATCAGGAAAGCTTTCTGAAATAAATGCTTTGTATCTACTAGATTCTCATTGTTATTTTAGCCAAGTTTGGACTACTAAGTGAATTAGGTAGCTTACCTTTATGCTCCACGTAACTTCCTGCCTTAGTGGCACTCCATTCTTATGAACATCCTAAAAAGAACAATTGAATTTTACCTTAAAGGTGTGTGGCTGGTTGTCCTGGAATAAAGGATTATCCTGGAATAAAGGCATTTTAGGAAGCACAAGAAGCGAAGAAGCTTCTTGTGCTTCCTAAAATGCCTTTATTCCAGGATAATCCTTTTCCTGAATATCCTTAATGTGAAGTCATTAGCAGAGCAAACAAATGCCAGAGAAGGAGCAGAGCAAATCATGTACATCCAAACCTACCTCGGTGCAAGAACATAGGCAGCAGTGTGTTTGCACATGGTTAGGCCAGAGTGAGGATATTTTAAAGTTGTGTCCAGCCTAGACTTAGAGCAGAGGTGTCTATTCTTTTGGCTTCCCTGGACCATATAGGAAGAAAAATGGTCTTGGCCACACATGCCATAAACTGAAGCCTGCATACAAATAGCAAGAGCATACAGATGCAGGAGCACCATTCCTAGTGCAGAATACAAACATGAATTCTTTTTCACAATTCATTTTATGTGACATTGTGACAGAATCCTCTTGCTCTTCATTTTGTTAGTTAATTTTAGCAGTTTTTTATTTCTTCTGACAGAACTGTTGGCAGTTATAATTCAAATAATGAATACTTCAATATTTGTGGACAATTCCATCGAGTTACAAAGAATCGAGTTACAAAGAAATAATCACCAAAAAAATCATAATGTTTTAAGCAAGTTTACAATTTTGTGCTGCGTCTCATTTATAGCTGTCCTGGGCTGTATGTGACCATGGGCTGGACAAGTCTGACTTTGAGGCATTTTGATTAAATGTAACTTCAGTATATCAGCTGGTCCTTAACCATGTTACAACCTTATTATGAAGGCTAGGCAAAGCGAGCTGCTTCGGCTGGCTTTTGGGGAGGAAAGAAGGAGCCGCAGGGTGAATCCATTGCCCCATGTAGAGCTCCTTCTTGCGACTCTTTCTCCATCGTCTGAGGGAGGCCCTGTGCTGGTTCCATTGGAGCCAGCACAACATGGGATGCCTCCCATGTTGCCAGGGAAAGTGTCTAGCGATGCTTTTGCCCCCAATGGGGGAGGTTGGGGGTGGATCCACAGGTGACCTTGTCTGATGGATTCAGTAGGGCTCCAATCCCAGAAGCTGGCTCTAAGCATCTTAGGACACTTATTTGGAGCTGTATGACAAGGTGCTTAGTGAACTCTCATTTAACTGTATTTTCGGGTCCCATGACACTATAACATGTGTATGAATACTGGAACTACATGGGTGACATGCCCATTGTATTTCATTTTTCAGCCTCTTAATTTGGCAACACTAAGGTAGGAAGGATTCTGAAATTATCCTTCATGTGGAATTTCAGATCTTTATAATACCAATGTGGAAGATCACAGTTGCAATTTGTGCAATGCTGTTCTCTAACATTTTGATCTTAGTTCACAGTGAATACTGCCTTGTGTTTAATTGCCCAATAGCTGAATGTCATTAGTGAGATTTGAGTATTAAAGTAGAATATAATTGTTTTTATGATGCTTTTCTGAAAGTGCCTCCCAGTTAAACTTACAGATATTATTAATAAGAATTCCAAGTGATTATTAAAAAGAAATTTCAAGGCCCCCCACGAGGGTCTGCTTCCAGGAGCAAACCAAGAATGGGCAACTTGGAAGTCCCTGAACAGACTCAGAAGTGGAGTGGGCAGGTCAAAAGACAACCTGGCAAAATGGCGCTATCTAAAAGAATCCTTCACTTTGTGTGACTGTGGCACAGAACAAACAACTCCGCATCTGTATGCTTGTCCACAAAATCCTGCCTCGTGTACAGAGGAAGAATTGTTTAAAGCTATAGACAATGCGGTCATTGTTGCCTGGTTTTGGTCAAAAATATTTAGAGCTTGTGCTCCTATTTTTATCAGTTTTTCTTATTTATATGATGCTTTTGATATGAAATAAATAAATAAAGTGATTACTTCTAACTTGTATGAAAACAAAATACATGTTGTAACCATTTCAGCCGCTTAGAGTTTTATTGGGTATAACTGCTTGCCCATAATTTCCTCAAAGAGATGAATTAAATGTTTATTTGAAGATGCTACTAAAATAAATTACAAATTGCAGAGTTGATCTCATGAGTACTTAGATACTGAAATGTTTATCTAATGGTGGGAGGAGGGTTTGCTATAAGTGAAACTTGTTGAATCAGTGAAAAAATTATGCAAAGATGTCCAATGTATTGCTAATGAATATAGAAAGAAATTTAAAAACTCAAATCAATCTTAATTGTGTGAGATGAACAATCATAATGTGTGTTGTGACACATTTAAAGGTCACTTGATTAAATAGCTGTGTTATAGGACTGAGAGAGAAAGACTACAGCAATGTGTTTGACACTATGACAGAAAAACAAATTACAATTTATTTAATGATGTTAAGGTTTTAGTAGCTCTTCCATATAGAATTCAGTGCTATAACACAAGAGGTATTCTTGAAAAAGGGAAATATTTTCATATGAAATTAAGTGTATTGCAATCGGCTCCCAACAGGAGAAACATATATCTTTGTTAATTTTATGCCTGTAGGGAAAAATGAATAATTTCACAATATTTCTTCTTTTTTTAAAGAAAGACATCAAAAGTCACACATGTTGACACTGCTTACAAGTTAAAAAAATGGATGTGAGTTTTGCATGCTCACCTTTCCTGAAAAAAATAGTATTTTCTTCCAGAAAACAGTGTCCTTCATTGAAAGCACAGAGGATTTGTAAGTAAAACAATGCTGATTTCAGTTTAGAAAAAAAAGTTTTCTGCAACTGAAAATACTGTTTTCTGTCTAGAAAATTTTTTCTCTGTGCATAAATGTTATTGCCTGTGCAAGACCGCTGATACCTGTGATTTCACTTATCCACATCCAACAAAAAATGTCCCCTATAAGCATTTTCTAGTTCCTCCAGCACGATTCTGTGATGTTCTTGGGTTGTAAGGCTTACATTTTAATAGGGTTCACTGTTATCCTAGGTTGTGGTTGTATTTATCCATGTGAAAGGGGGATGCAAATTCAGTGTTTCTCTTTTAGTCCCACAGAAGACTTCCAAAAGTTCTTATCATTGTAGAGTTCCTTGAGTTCCACCATCTCCAAACAGATGGTGCTTTCATTGTGTGTCTTCAAACCGATTTATTGTGATCATAATACCTATCATAGAGGTTTCTTGTCAAGATTTGTTTAGCGGAAGCTTGCTCTTGACTGTGACTAGATCACCCAGTAGGTTTTTATGGGCTAGCAAGGATTCAAAGAGGCATAATACGTGTTTGACGGCAGCATTTCCCCTTTACAAGCTTAGGTCAGAGCATCTCTGATTCCTTAAACATTTATTTTTCACAATTGTCATTATTTTAATTTTGTGTTATATTTTGCAATTTATGTTTATCATAGAAAGTGACCTGTGATTAATAATAATAAATTTATTATGATCAACAGATCAGATAAAAAGAACTATGATTGAATATAATTGTCATGTTTGGGGAATTGGTGGAATTGTTCTTTTTTTATGGTGGCTATGTTTATTTTAATGAAAATGCATTCCAACTGGGGTCTCCCAGTTTCTGATGGAAAAGGACTTAAATCCCCATGTCATTCACTTGCATTATGATATATCGTAGAAACGGTATCTAAAGAAGAATTGCTTACAAAATCTAGTCTCTACATGATTATCCCACAACATTAACTCAGGCCCTCTGGAAGCTGTCATTTAAGGAAAAAGAATAGCAGCATTCTGCATCAAGTTCATTGCTATTGGCCATTTATCACAATCCAGACTTCCAAAGCAAACTATTAAATCATATTCAAATGAATTTAATCACTTGTCTCCAAAGTTGTATTACTATATATGATTACACATTTTAAATTTCCACTGAATTCAAGGAGACATTTATATTTAGGTGAATACAGGAATGGTGTTCCAATGTGACAGGCACCACTTGTTCAACATCTAAGATGTTTCACAGCAAGCCAGATGGCTGTCCAAGTCAATAAAATCAGGTCATTGTTTCACTGCCTCAATTAATATACCGTTCTATTATTTTTGCAGAATTGGGTAGGTAAAGCAGAAAAGCAGACATTGCTCTCTGATACTCTAGACCTTGCAGAACTCTTCCACCCAGACACATTTCTGAATGCTTTACGACAAGAAACTGCAAGGTATGTGAACCGAACCATTTTATGAACCTCTCAATATCATTCAGTAGCGATGTATTCCTTTTTTTACTTCTAGTTGCCTTGCTTTCACTGTTTTAAGTGAAAACCAAATTGTAGATTACTCCTTTTAAAGGAAGCCATGCTTTTCTTCTGACATCTCAGTAAGGCCATTTTATTTCAGCATATGATTAATTTGCTGGCTATAGAACTTTTTAAACATTTATTAAAATGATCTGGTAAAATCACTATATTCCCATGTTCTGTTATACTCATTGTTAGAGCATTGATATACTTCTAGCCCATTATAATAGTTATTAGACCACTGAGCACTGCAGGCCTTAATCTTTATGATATGTTGTAAAAAATATGTTTTATCTTGAATTTCTTTGACTGCAAAAAAAAATGGGTTTAGGGGAGTAGGATGGTAAACCATTATTGCTAGCAAGCTACATTGTGGGTGGTGGGTCTAATGTTGTACAAGTCATGCAGTACAATAGTCTGCAGTATTGTAAGGTCATCTTATTTAAGACATGGACTTCAGGCAGTAGTCCCATTATTGAATGCATTATTTTAAAACACAGTTTTAAGATTTAAATGTTTCTGTAGATTTTAACTACTTATAACTTTCCTTATTTATCTGTGAACTCATGACTATTCAGGAGATATAAGCAACAGGTAGTATTATTTTTAAAAAGTTATTTCTGTATCAAGAAATGTTGGAGTAAGTAAAACGTATTTAAGAAATCTCATAGCAAATCAACAGTCCTCAGCATGCATACTTGAAAATACAGTGTACTCTCCATATTCAGGGGGGCTAGGGCTGTAGAAACCTCATTAAAGTGGAAAAAATATGAATATCTTCAGGGTGGGTCATGGTTTGGGGAATCATCAATCTCAGTCACCATCCACCCTCCTAAAGCCTGCAAACCAGCAAACTTCAGGGGGTGGCTGATGAATGAAATCACTTCTGTCCTGTCTCCTGAAACCATGGGAGCAGTACAGAAGTGATGTCTGTTGCAAGTCCCTAGCCAAAGTTTGTAGACTGGAAGCATAGACATATTGTTGCTCTCCCATCCCTGAAGACATAGAAAGTAGAGCAGCAATTATGGCAGTTACCAACTGCCTCCTGAAGACTTTGGGAGGTAATTGGTGAATGAGATTGTTTCTACTCTGCTCCTTACATTGGCAAGTTTCAGGAAGTGGGTTCTTAGGGAGATTGCTGTTGCTCCATCTGCCCCAAAGACCTAAATGGGGCAAAGGAGCAGTGATGGCTCATCAACTACCTGCCCATGCAGTGGCCAGCTTCTGAAGATGTTATCTGTTAGGCGATCCCTCGTAGCTCGAGGATGATGATCCTCCAAGGTGATGGTCTTCTTGGCGGTGGGTCTGTAGGTGGCTGTGGAGCCGTATTCTTGATCTACATGTTATTCCCCAGTGAGGACATTGGTTTCCAAGTGGCGGTCTTGTCAGGATTGACTTCACACTTCTTCTCTTGGCATGTTTCTCTCTTTTGCCCTCCATTCGTGCTTCTTTGAATTCTGCAGCACTGCTGGTCACAGCTGACCTCCAGCTAGAGCACTCAAGGGGCAGGGCTTCCCTGTTCTCGGTGTCTATTCCTCAGTTTTTGAAGTTGGCTTTAAGCCCATCTTTAAATCTCATTTTTTGTTCACCAACATTACATTGCCTATTCTTGAGCTGGAAGTATAGTAAGTGCTTTGAGAGACGGTGATTGGGCATTCGGACAATGTGGCCAGTCCAGCGGAGTTGATGGTGTAGGAGCATCGCTTCAGTGCTGGTGGTCTTTGCTTCTGAAGATGATTGTTGAAGGTAGTGCTGGTTTTCTATCCATGGAAATAATTGGTGCTCCCCTCCTCTGAATCACATGCAGTGGACAAATCTGCAAATAATCAAATCCATGAATACCAACCCCGTGAATGTGTTCTCTCTCTCTCTCTCTCTCTCTCTCTCTCTCTCTCTATATATATATATATATATATATATTCAGGTGTTAGTATAGGAATTTTAGTCAAACAATCCATTAAAAAAGCTGGGACAACTTATACACAGATTTAATAACTACTGTACCTTAAATCTTATCTAAAAAGTAGAGTAGTGAACGCAGGTGAGGGCATAATTTTGACCTCAAAACTTGTCCTAAACTTATCTTTGAGATTGCTTATACATTATTATATACTGTATATTCCATTCATTTTATTGACATTTTATTGATTAGTATAAAAAAGATAAAAAAAACTCCTAAGCTTTTAAAGATATTTATATTTCATTCATTTATATTGGACAGGTACTAATTTCCTTTTTTCTCCAGATGGATGACTCTAGAGTTGTCCAGATTCATATGACAACATTGGGATGTAGCTAACAAAAACTTTGTAGAGTTTGCTCTGTTAGCACACCTAATTTTTTCTAGTCGGAAGCAGTATTTACACTTGCATTGTCATTTTGTTTTCCAGGGTAATGACTTCTTCAGTAGACAGCCTAAAGTTTACAGCATCTTGGAAGGGTCAGATAAAAGAAGCAAAACTCCAAGTTCAGGTACTATACACATTTCATATTTCTTTTCTGAAGCTTTTGTGCATCTACTAAAATCATTATTTGTCAGTTTGCTTGGTTGAATTTTCAAGTCATCCTCCCTAAGTATGAGAGCAACAATTTGATAATTATCCTAACCTGTCGATTTCTTTCTCTGGGATTCATAAGTCAGCTTGAGTAAAAATGTCTTGCACTACTTCTGAAAGACAAACAAGCAAGGAATTCTGAACTTGAGCATAGAATCCATAAAAATGATGGCAAAATGTTTTGTTGTAACCAAGCAAAACTTTGCTTCTGACCAAATAGATGTTGCATGGTAACAAAATATTATTAAACACGGAGGTAAGCACATGAAACATTTCTTGTACTACTAATAGTAGGAGCCTGGAAGTAGCCACTCCCTTCTTTTAAAATTTTTGAGAAAAGTCATCTTAGAACAAGAAAGACCTATTTGTAAATCTATAGACAACATGTGACCGGTCTACTCGTATTTTGTGCCTTCCAGCAACTGCCTTTATCACCTGCTGTCCAAACCATGGAGGTTTTCACTCTCCATTTCTCTTCTGGTTCTTTCAGAAAGGAAAGAGGATTCTCTACAGTCTTGCTGGGTCACTGTTGGGGCCCCCTAAACCATAGTAATCTGCCATTGTTTCCACATACTTTTGGAAGGGGTACAGTACTGGCAATTCATTCTGCTGAATTTTGGTGCTGGCAGAATGACCAGCAATAGTGTGACTCTGAAAGGGTTCAGTGCAAGCTGTGATGCCTTTAACTTGCCCATCAAAGTCAGAATGAATAAGTTGTGCTGTTAAATCAGAACAAAAAGATATTTTATTGGATATATTTGAAAAACAACAATAGTCAAAGGAATGAAGGGATTTATTTGTACTTCACTGAAAACCTTTGTCCTTTAGACTGCAAATCTTTTGCAAAGATTGTCAAAAGTTTCACTTTTCTTTTCGATCATTCATACTTCTAATATGATTTTTGTTAGCGTATCTTTAAAGGTCACCTAATAAACTTTGAGATCATTTCTGGGAGACAACTTTGAGTGCAGATGCCCATTTAATCAGACATACTGAACCAAGTTTACAGCTTGGTCCAGAGGGATTGCTGAAATGGATGATTAATACAGCAGATAACACCGAGACATGATTAGACGAGCACTTCCTCTGTCGTAAGGCTGTGATGAATTTTTGATTCAGAATCAATTTGTACATAATTTCATCTTGCTTGATGACATCTGGAATTACTTATACAGATACTCTTATCTGACAATCTCATATTCACATGGAAAGGCATTGACTGGATTGTAATTTTCTATTCATGCCTCATATTTTTCTTTTTAAAATCACTGGACACCAAGGAGGAAGGGGTGAAGGACTTTTTACAGCACAGTGTATTCAGTGTATAAAGACATTGGAGAAAATACATCAAAGGAACATTGGAAGACAGATCCTAGGCTTTGTAGACATCCATTACACTGCTTATTCCTTATAATCTGGTTCACAAATATTAGGAATACTTATTTGGATCTGTGCAACCTAAGAATTAACATGCTGTTTGCTTCCTTCTGGTATGTTTGTTGATTTATGGTAGTCCATAATTATCATATATATTCATAGATTTTTTTTTAACAAAAACCTGAGTTGACATACACAGGCCAATGCTGAGTTTAGAATCTATTAGAGACACATTGTTTTCAACCCAGGTTTTTGACTAAAATTTCTAGACTATTATACATAACTATATAGAGTAAGTTATATTATTTTACCAGTGTGAAAGAGTGGTTTGGGTATTGAACTATCTGGACACCAGTTTTCAAATCCCAGTTGGATGACCTTGGTCAAGACACATTTCTCTCCAACTTAGATGAAGGTGATGGCAGAAGTTCCTCTGAACAAATCATGCCACGAAAACTCTTTGATAGGTTTACCATAAGTCTAAAACTACTTGGAAGGAACACGGCAATCCTTCAGTAATACCATAGTAGGATTCTGAGCTCCAATCCTGTCTAAATAATGGGAATAAACTGCTATAAGAGGCAGAAACAGAAAAGGGAGACCTTACACTCTCCCATCTTCCTGGTAACCCTTGAGGTAGAAAGATATACATTTTTAGTTGACAAGTGAAAATCAGCAAGGTCCTACCATTCTCTGGGGCACCTCCCAGAAGCCAAGAACAAGATGTTGCTTCTCTTCAGTGACAGGAGAAGGCAGTCGATTGACTTCTGCCCCAGGACAAATGCCCCAGAAATTGCCCAAAACTACAGTAGAAGTGCAAAGCACATTGCAATTAATGAAATGAAAGAGAAACTTCCCCAAAAGGTGGGAGATGGTCACAGATGCCATGTTCTTGAAAAGCATATTACAATCAATTCATCGTATTACCCGGTTTTAAGAAAGTGGGGTTGGTATTATCATAATTAGTTTTATCATTAAATTTTGTGGAATACAATTTCCACTATAAGCAGCAATAAACCATTTTCTTCAGAAACTACATGTATTCTTTTAATTGTCCATAATAAAATCAAGTCATCAAAATATTTCTCCTCCATTGACAGACTTGTTTTCCCAGTAGTTGAAATAAAAGTGAACAGTAGATCTTGTAAGTTTTTTTTAAGAAAGAAGAGCAGAAAATAATTCTTTTATTCATTCCCCTTGTGCATTATTTTTACATATGGTGCAGAGGGAAACACTTCAGTGACTTGCAGAAAACTTAGAGTAATTCAGTCTGTTCTTTGAAAGCCAACGTCAAACCTCACAACAGGAAGCCAAGCCTGTTCTGGGATTTGTTTTTTCCTCTTCCTTGGGCCTTGTTAAGAAATGTTTGCTTGGCTTTGCTGCTTTATTTCCATTAATCTAATGTCCTGACACCTGCCACAGACAGAAGTGCTGACATAGACTACTATTATTCTCTACCATGATTTTTAAAATCATTTTTCTCCTCTGTTCTTTAGCAATCTTTGCATATTTTGTTTGTTTGTTTTTGCATGTGTGTTTCACCCTATGCTAAGATAAAATTCAGCCATTGTTAAAATTTTTGTCCCCAGCACATATTTTAATATTTTATGTTTCCATGACAGATCAGTGGCCTTCAACTGGAAGGCTGTAGTTTTGATGGAAATCGACTTTCAGAAAACCAGCATGACTCTCCCAGTGTGTCATCAGTGCTCCCTTGTTACATGGCCTGGATACCACAGGTACTGTATTATTAAGGAGCCTATACTTATTGGTCTTATAATTGGCTTCCTTTTCTGTAATAGATTTACAGTAGGATGTCTGACCTGGTTTCTTAAAAGAAGCTAAATTCTTTGCAGTTTAATATCTTTGTTCATCAGAGCATTAAAGAACATTTTCATTTTCTCTAAAGTTTCACATCTAGCCATCCCCTGTTGATGTTTTAAAGCCTATGTAGAAAGACTTGTCGAGTTGGGCTTGTCCTTGTATCTTTTGCATCTCATATGTTCCTGCTTGAAATTTGTTGTGTCTATCTTTTAGAATCCCCTTGAAAGACTGTTACACCTTTGACCATTGGAGTCTTTTTTTTGTTTTGTTTTTGTTTGCAAGCCTGATCTCAAAAATCCATGTTTGTCAAACACTACAGAATTAACAAACTCAGACAGAAAGAATGTTTCATTTGGCTAATGATACTGAAAGGGCCTTAATACCATAAATGCACCAAATCTTGATCTTGGAAGCTAAGTGGGATCATTAATGGTTAGTACTTGGATAGAGACCACCAATGAATACCAGGTTTCAGAGCTATATTTCAGAGGAAGGAACTGGCATATTCCTTACATAAGAAAACCCTGTGAAATTAATGATGTTGCCATAGAGTTGGGAGAGACCTTGTGGGCCATCCAGTCCAACCCCCTGCCAAGAAGCAGAAAAATCACATTCAAAGCACCCCCGACAGATGGCCATCCAGCCTCTGTTTAAAAGCTTCCAAAGAAGGATCCTCCACCATATTTCTTTAGTTGTCCTTGTATCTTGAATAAAGGCACCTTGTGAAATCCCCTTCTAAATCAACGTTTGGTTCACAAGAGACAGGGCCTTCTTGGTGGTGGCTCCCCGGCTTTGGAACTCCCTCCCACTAGAGGTTAGATCTGCCCCCTCCCTCCTGACGTTCAGGAAATCACTAAAAACCTGGCTCTGGAATGTGGCATTCGAGGACTGAACCTAGAACCTTTCCCTGTGATGAATTATGATGAACTGTGACTACGAGCATGACTATGACTTTGACTGGATTGACGATTTGGCGTAGGAAACTGTAATGATGTAATGATGATGTTTTTATTGTACTGAGTTGTACTATTTTAATATGTAATGATTTGTATTTGCTGTTTTTTCATATGATTGTATTTGATATGCACTGTAAACCGACCTGAGTCCCTCGTCGAGGTTGAGAAGGCCGGTATAGAAAACCTCTAAATAAATAAATAAATATTTTTTTCATTCCAGGCTCTGGCCGCCTCTTTTAAACCATAAAGGCTCTTTTGTAGTTTGCACACAAGATGCTTGTTGATCTCATCCTCAAATCCTGGTGGCTGAGAATTCTCAAGCAACCGAAGGGGAGTTTTCTGATGGACAATTGCAAGGGTCATTGTATGATGAAAATACATGTATATCTATGACTCAATTCATTCCAGTCCACCCATCAAGTTAACAGGTGGAACTAGTACTTCCTAGTGGTCAAACAGCGCCACCATTCCAAAGGTTGGAAAGAAGCACAAAGGTGATTCTCCCAATTCATTGGTTTATGTGGCTAAAACAAGAGACTCATGAACCATCATCTTGGAATGAAGTGCAAAAGTTGCCAGTCAGGGAGAAAGAGAAATGGAAAAACTGCAACATTCAGAGGATTAAATGTGGAACATTTGGACATAAAGACAGTTTTTCTCCACGGAGACATAAAGGAAGACTTAAAGGAAGATATCTACATGGAACAACTACCGGTATTTGAGGATGAGATCAACCGGCACCTTTTGTGCAAACTAGAAAAGAGCCTTTATAGTTTGAAACAGGCAGCCAGATCTTGGAAAGAAAAACTGAACCAAATGTTAATTGAGAAGGGAAAAGCTGACAGTTGCTTTTATTCAAGATATAAGGACAATAGTTCTTACATTATAAAGTTCAATCTTGCTTTCATGGTTGAAGATTTGTGTGAGAGTTCTGGATTCGTGTCAGACTTTCTACAGTAATAAATATCAAATAGTGTGCAAGATGAGTCATCCCCTTGAGTTAGAAGAAAAGAAAAAACTAGATTTTTGTCAACATGTTAATATTAGCATCTTAGGTCTTCAAGTGTCTCTTAAATTCTGACAACTGATATAACTGTCAGAGCTCGTCCGGCAGGTTATTCTATGGTCTTGGGACAGCCGATGAAAAGGTCCACTGGATGATAGTCACCAGTTGGGTTCTGGTTGGAGTAGCCAGCCCCCAGAGGACCTAAGTGTCCAGGGTTGATTGTACAGGAGAAGGTGATCAAAACCATATAGGACTTAAATGGTCAAAACCAACACTTTGCATTTTGCCCAGAAATTAATTGGCAACCAATGGGTGACTGTAGAGTAGGTGTAATATGCTCACTCCTGGATGTTCATGTAACTAGTTGTGTACATTTACTCAATTCAGTGTCATAAACTGACAGTTCTAATGTACAATCCTCTGTATGTCTGCTCAGCAGTAAGGATCATTCAGTTCAGTATGCTTAACTTTTACATAAGTATGTATAGAACTGTATCTCAAATATTGTCACATTTGAAGGGATTGTATGTGTATTTATTTTCTTGACAGAATGCTTACGGACCATATTCTCCTGAAGAATGCATTTCTTTGCCAGTTTACACCAGTGCAGAGAGGGACTGTGTGGTGACAAACATTGATGTTCCATGTGGAGGCAACCAAGATCGATGGATTCAATGTGGAGCTGGTTTATTTTTGAAAAACCAGTAAGAGGAAATTAGGTTGCGAATGTCCTTGCTGTTAATCACTGAGCTCAGGTATCTGCAGAGATAATTTAAAACCTGAATATGAGAAGTCCATAGATGATATAAATACCTGTACTTAAGGGCTCCTATGGATTTCTGGATCACATTGGGCATAAAATGTATTGGACACAATTCACTAGAAGTTCTCTGTGCAAGCTAAACTGAAGTGAATAGTTTGTGTTATTGCATAGCTCTAGTTAGTCACAATGGAATATTAACTATAATATTCATTTTGCATACCTGCTATTAAACTGAATAAAGTTTGCACACCCCTTATGACTCCTGGATACTTTCAACTGGCATTACTCATTTATGACCAAAACTTTATTTATATGCTTTACCAAATGCCATCCAACTGTCTTTTGTTAAATGCCATACAAATTACTGTATTTCCAGGTATATGCTATCACAATCTTTTATTTAGGTTTTGGCTTTAAATTTCTTGCATCCTTTTTCTTCCTCCATCTTATATATTTTCCTCTTGCAATGATCTGTCATAAAAGGACAGTTTTAGAACAGTGAGATAAGCCACTGTATCTAAACATCAGAAATATTCTGTATGTAAAAATTGAAAAAAGGTTGTGTTAAAATCTATTTGCTGCACACAAATGTATTGACATATACTGAATTATATTTATTATACAGTTCTTATTAAATTCAGGTTTTTAACTTTATTTGCCATGTTCTTTGTGCGTGAGTTGAGTAAGCTAAATATTCTGTTTCTTGTGTATTAAATGTTTAATCTCTTGCAATATGAGTGTCACATTGAAAGAAAAAAGCATAACTGGAGTAGACCAAATTCCAATAAGTATTAGAATATGTGGGTGATACAATTTAAGGAAAATATTAATGAATAGTACATTAGAATGAGATGTACCTGGTAGCTGCATGCCACATTTAGGAGGAAATGTTGCTTAAGGATAAAAACACAGTGAATTCTTTCTGATCAAAGAGTTTTGGCAGTGAGTGGCTATCATATTAGGGAGTGCTTAGAACTGATCCAATAAGCTATTGCACCAGCAAATGAATATTGGAACAGGCAGCAATCTTTGCAAAAGTATCAGGAGCTCATCAAGAATATGGTACCATCCTGGCTCACAACAGCTCTTAGCTAAACTTACCTACTTGACAATGAGAAACAAGGCTCAGTATAAAACAAGGATTTCCTCATGTTTAAATACAACTGTGGAGCTGGTTTTAATGATGCAAATTTACATGCCTCAGGTGGCTTCAGTTGATTCAGTGGGACTGAAAATTGGTAATCTAAGACAGCACTTTCATCAATGGTCATAGCTGTATTAACATTTCTAATTATAAATAATTGTGAAATCAAACAGATAGAAGCTTTCGTTTTTTGAGTTGCAGAGTAAGGATCAGTGGAATGGTAATATTTCAAAAGCTTACAGTAAAAAAATCTGGAATGATCTCCTGAAATAGCGAAGAACATACAAAAGGAAAAGGTGCTGGAGTGACCTGGTAATATAAATACTGAAGACAAAGACAGACAAACATGGGTGTACTTTAAGTTTGATTTACTAGCAGCACCCCTCTTGCCATAGTGTTTAATATGTTTCTCTAATACAAGTATATGGGCAGAATAGAAACAAAATACTATTTATAGAAGAGGCTCGTTCCATGTCTCTATCTGCAACCATGTACAAGGTGGAGCAAATGTGCTTCCTCTTGTTCCAGAGACAAGAACCTTACTAATGGGTTCAGATTTCAACACAAGAGATTCCACCTAAAATTTTAAAATAACTTGTTTATTGTAAGAGCTGTTTGACAATAGTATGGACTGGCTCAGAAGGAGTATTCTCCTTCATTGTAGATCTTCAAACAGGGTTGGATGGCCATCTTTAGAAGTACTTCCTTTGTGTATTTCTACATATCAAGGGGCTGGGTTTGATGACCTTTGTGATCCTTTCCAGCTCAGGTTCTATGATACTATAAGTCAACTTTGCAATATATCACCTGGACCTCTGCTTTTGATCTCCAAGAGCAGCAGTTCTCAACCTGTGGCTCCCCAGGTGTTTTGGCCTACAACTCCCAAAAATCCCAGCCTGCTTTCCAGCTGGCAGGATTTCTGGGAATTGAAGGCCAAAACATCTGGGGACCCATGGGTTGAGAACCACTGTCCTAGAAAGTGGCACCATTTTATATATATATATATATATATATATATATATATATATATATATATATATATCTGCTTACACAGTGTTTAATTTTCCTTGATGGATTATTTTGTAATGTAGACCCTATTTTGTAAACTTTAAGAAAGAAACATCAGAACTTTTTAGACTGACATTTTCAGATAAGCATTGGTACAAGTGAAGCAAAACACTGAAACTCATCAGCAGAAGAGTTTAAAATGTCATTCTGACCAGCCAAGTTAGTCATCCCCAGGGCTGTACTTTTCTAGCATTCTGTTGATAGTTCTGCCTTCAGTGAATGTAGCTCTTTCTAAAGATTGATTTAATGATAACTGAAGTATGATTGCTGGAAGTGTCTTTATTATAGTGACTCAGATAAGCAGGCTTTAACGACATTCTTTATCTAGCATTACAATAGGAATTATACAATTTGCAATGAATATATTTTCATTTATATCCCACAATTCTTTACACATGCCCATGATGATCATAGAATCCTAGAATCAAAGAGTTGGAAGAGACCTCATGGGCCATCCAGTCCAACCCCCTGCCAAGAAGCAGGAATATTGCATTCAAATCACCCCTGACAGATGGCCATCCAGCCTCTGTTTAAAAGCTTCCAAAGAAGGAGCCTCCACCACACTACAGAGATTTCCACTGATTAACAACTCTCACAGACAGGAAGGTCTTCCTCATGTTCAGGTGGAATCCCCTTTCTGTAGTTTGAAGCCAATGTTCCGCGTCCCAGCCTCCAGGACAGCAGAAAACAAGCTTGCTCCCTCCTCCCTGTGGCTTCCTTTCACATATTTATACATGGCTATCATATCATCATCATCATCAACAACAACAAAAATGTATTACCTTGTGACTTGAGTAGTAGTATAACGGGGTTAAAACCCAAGACTATTAAAATACATATAACAGAATGACAAATTATCCTTGTAGAACACAGTAAAGTATGAAAATGCCAAAAAGCCATATTTAAAAGCACAAACTACGTTAAACGGAGAAGAGGTGCATTTGTGTGTTTGATTGCAACTTTCCTAGCTCCACAATTGTAAACTATAAACATATGAAACTTGCCATGCCTACAAAAGGTATGTGGGTTGCTCAACTTTAAGGGTCTTCTTAAATTGATTCACATTTTAAATTTAAGAGACTTTTTAAAAAATAGATTAATATTTTAAATAGCTATCTCTTGCTTACCATATCATTTTCAGTGACTAGGCAGCATGCGCCTCTAAACATCTGAAATAAAATTGAAGTCAGGCCTGAGATACTCATTTCTCTAGAGTGGCTCTAGGTAGTAATTAGTAGGCTTGTGCATTTTGTCTGAACCTCGATCCGTTTCTGCTGGCTGGATTCCGGTTGACCTATCTGTTTTCGCACACCTCCTGAAAATGGGCAGAAAGCACCCAAAACTACCGCTAGATTCGGCCCATTGGTGGCAGTGGGGAACTTACGCAGCTCCCCTTTTCCGTTCCTGGAACCTTTCCTTTCTTCCCTTCAAGGGAGCCTGAGTTTCAGCAATGAGGTTAAGGAAGCAACCTGCCTAGGACCCTTTCCTTTCTTCCTTTCAAGGGAGCCTGGGTTTCAGCAACAGAGTTAAGGAAGCAGACACAGCTTACATAAGACATATAAGAGAATTCTTCTTTTCTGATTGGCCCAACAGACAAGGGCTCACAGGGAAACCCCGTGCGAGGAGGAACATACCACAGCAGCCTCTTTTTGCACCACATGCTCCTGAAAAAGGGAGGAGGAGCCGTGATTGCCTGCCACATGATCCCGTTACATACAAGAAACCATGAGAACTTGGCCCTTGCTGTTACGGCCATCTAACCAAGCTGAAGAAGCTGGATTGGCTGAAGGAAAATGACTGAAATGAATCTGTGCACAAACCTAGTCATTGGGTCACAGATTGATTTTTTGTAAAAAAAAAAAAAAATGAAGTCATGCAGGCATTGTAAATTTCAAGCTGATAAACAATAGGATTGATGAATGGATTGGATTTAGCCAAATATTTTTTCATTCCTGATTTGTTGGCTTTGACTGATTATATTTCTAATACTGTAAAAGATTTGGCTCTACACCAAAATGTGCCTGATTGAATTCTGAAATTAACATAACATTCATAGAAAACAGTCAAAATTTTAAAAAGCCAATTGGAATTACTTTCTTTTTCTTTCTGTAAGATATATTTCTCCTACAGCTGAGATGCAGACTATCTGAAAAGACAGTTTCTTCCCATAATGAATTTGCACAAATGTTAAAGAGGACCCTCTCCTTGATTACACCACCCTCATAAACATACTCTGAGGACATGAGGGAGGGCTTTTGGTAGCTGCTCCTAAAGTGTGGAACTCCTTCTGGTAGCAAACACCTTTTAATTCAAATAGGCTTTCCCTTTGCTATTTAGGAGGCTTTGTGCTCTTCCTCCTTACCAAACAACCCTTTGAAAAATGGTAGTTCTGTGCTTGGTATTGGTATAATTTATACCAATACCATTTAAGTAATTTAACATTACTTAAATTCTTCAGTAATGTTTTTAAAGGTTTAATTCATATTGTAAACCATTGTGGACCTTGTTTTTGTTCATTCAGTCAATTGATCCTTGTAAACAAAAAAAGCATTATCATATATTCCCAAATTCTAAGTAGTCTTGTGGTCATGTAGGCAGCTGCCATGTGGAAAAATTGGATGTCAGTTTCAACAACTGCTTACTGGAAGAAGATGGGTTTTCCTGCTTATGGACTTCCTATAGATATCAAGTTGACCACTGACAACAGTAATAAGCAATCCCAGCAGAATTGACGAGAAGCAACTGGAGAAACTTAAATGATATAAGGATTTAAAGACAGAACTGCAAAGACTCTGGCACAAGCCAGTAAAGGTGGTCCCAGTGGTGCAGTGCCTAAAGACCACGGCCTGCACTTGAAACTAATCAACGCTGACAAAAATTACCATCTTTCACCTGCAAAAGGCCACCCTACTTGGATCTGCATGCATTATTCACTGATAGATCACACAGTCCTAGACACTTGGGAAGTGTCCAACATGTGATCAAATACAACATTCAGAATAGTGATCTTGTTTGCTGTGTACTAATCTTGTTGTGTATTAAATAATAATAACAATAATAACAATTTATTTCTAGACTGCTCTCTCCACCCAAAGGACTCAAAATGAAATGAAAATGCCCCTTGCTGTCAGCACTGTTGTTAGAATAAAACTACTAAACTAATTGCTAAATCTTTTTCTTACTAAGGCTGCTAAAAGTTTGCCCATTCTGTCCAACACATTAGTCCTTATATGTAGGTCTGCAGACCTCACTGATACTAGTTGTATCGGGCATTTCAGATGTCTTTGATGATGGAATAACAATGAAGCATGTTCATTTGGTTACAACATAGAGATTATTGAGGGTCTTGTAAGCTCTGTGTTAAGAGCATAAAATATAGGCCTCTTTGGCAGACCAGATTTGTGAAGAATCCTTTCCTTTTCTTTTTGCAGGATGAATATTT